AGCCTAGACAGCAGACAACCCTGGAGAAAAGAAACCCCAAAGTTCTAGGGGAGGTAGCGAAACCAACAGTGATCAACAGCCGCAGTTTGCGCACACAAAATTGACAGCTATACACCTGAGAGGAGCAATTAGTGACGAAATAGGTATCCAAAGCTCTACTAAATACTGCAAACACACACCAATGACTAACTACAATAAGCTACATCCTGAGAAGAGAGATTATTAGACTACACAGTACCAGAATCAGAACAGGATAAGATCTGCAATTCCATATTTGTACCTACTAGGGCGTGGAGATCACATCAGACAAATCACATAGTGATCAGGGCTCAACATACGCTTCCACCAAAGGGCCTTATCAACAGTTCTGACGTCTAGAGATATTGGGACAGCTAAGGTACTGGCACGAATAGGCTGAACAGGACCAAGACAAATAAGCCACCTATTTCAAAGACAGCAAGACAGTCGGACTAGTAAGCTAGGATAACAGAGTAGTAGAACAGGCTAACTTAGGCAGGGGTGAAAGATGGTACATCCTTCCCTCAGGAAGCAATCAATGCCGTCTTTCGGGCCTTCCCGCCATAAGGGGGAGGAGCGCCTTTCTGACTTGCCGGGGGAATAGGAACCGGACTGATGCTCCCGAAATGGAAAAGGAGCCAGAACCGTAAGGATCTGTTTCAAAAAAAAAAAAAAAAAAAAAAAAAAAAGGAAGGGGGGCTCTCCTATCCCATGCCTGCAGGAATACCTCGAAAGAGCCAAAAACTTGAGAGAAAAAGAATTCGACATCCGTGTGGCATGCATGAAACAGCAAGAGAAAACAGGCAGAAACAACAAGTCTACGATAGCAGGCATCCACACTACGAAGAATTCATACGACATTCTGAGACTACAGAGCGAGCTATCGGAATTCAGTGTTTTCCGGTACCATGAGAAGAAGAGGGAAAGAGAAGCTTCAGGCTCTGAAACGGAATCCAGCGCCGACACACAACCCCACAAGGACCCAATCAGGGACATGGTACCTAAGAAATGGAAGCCTTCGAAGGGTAGAGACAAGAGGCCCAAGAAATCTCAAGCCGATACATTTGAGAAAGACAGTGAGCAGCGATCTATCAAATGGGAGATAGCCATTTTTGCTGCTCAGACAAAGTGCCTGTTCGATCAGAACGACGAGTACCGCCAGAAACACAACAAATAATATTTCACAATCCCAAATGTCGCTGAGAACAGGGCTCCCTACGTCACTGAGAAGGCAGCATCCGACCGCAAAACTATCAAAGTCGTCAGACCTCTGGTCCCCGTCCGGTACAGGAGGATATTCAGCGAGTGGCAGGTGGCCACCGATGTCTCGTTCACTGTCCCGGCGTTGGGAGTCCAGCAGAATTTGGCCAGAGCTATAAAAGAAGGAATTTCATATGAATTCCCTGCAGGCGTTTATGAAGTCCCAGTGGCCCCTGCAAAACATGCAGACGAAACAGGCCAGGCCCCCAATACAGCCAAGTCGTTCGAGGCAATTTTAGTGAAACTGGACGAGAGAGCTAGATTACATGAAGGGCTGGTATGGAGAGCATGGAACACCGTGGCAGCGCTGCCGTACAACACTCTTGCAGACAAGATGTGCCCGGCAGAGGTCATGGCAGTCTCCCTGGCCTCCATTATCAGGTCCCATATTCTCATCACAGAGCATTCTCTGCAAGACGAAGCCACGACGCTCCATGTGAAGCCCGATGACGATGAGGGAAGCATGGCCGACGACGAAGATTACGGGATGGCCGATGGGATTTCCCTGGAAGGAGCAGGAACTAGAACCACACCGTTGCCCGAGGGCAGCATGGGGGCATACAGCCTGAGCTCTGTTCCGGGGAAAGAGAACAGCGAGGACAGTGGGAACAGCGACGACTCTGAGCTGGGCAGTCCCAAAACCTCAACCGTCGTGCACTATATTTACTAATCCCTCAGCTAACAACCCTGCCCCACAAACGCCCACCCCAACCGAGCAAAAAAAAAAAAGACAGAGGACAGCAAGGAACAAAACCCAGTGACCCGGACAACATTGGTCTATGAACTACAACAACACGATAGACAATGCAATCAGAACTGACTGGTGAGCAAAGGGCCTGACAATCCATAACTGGAACGTCAACGGCCTAGGCAACATTCTGTCCGAGGAAGATAAAAGTCCGGGACATTAGAATAAGTCTAATAGACAAGAAGAAGCGAAACCAGACGTCATCCTACTTCAAGAAACCCACCTGTCGGATCTCAGAAACCATGCCAAAATTAAGAGGACAGTGGAAAAAAGCTTGGGTGGCTGCGATTTCACACTCTGGTCCAACAAAGCGAGTCTGAGTAAGCGAGGAACTGCGATCCTCATACCCCAAAGCTCCAAAATCTGGATAGAAGGACAGGTGTTGGACGGGGAAGGAGACACGACAGAGGGCAGATGGTCCTGAATTGATATCAGATGGCCGGAGGAGGATCTTAGAATTTTGAACCTCTACGCGCCCAACGCAGAAAGTGAACGGCTAGAATTCTTCAATAACGTCAAAGCGCTCATCTTGAATCCTCTACCGGTGATTATTGCAGGAGATTGGAACACGACCCTGGATCCAAATCTCGACCTCATCTCTCGGTCTGTGCTGATGGGCTCTACAAGAGCAGAACCCACATTCAGAATATCATGACGGAGTTCAAGCTGATCGACCCCTTCAAAGCTCTCCATCCTCTTGCGAAAGCCTTTTCTGTAGTTAAGAGAAATCAGGCTAACCACATATCACTCTCGTGGATCGACTTCTTTCTGATTTCTGAGCTCCTCCAAGGCACTGTCAAGGAGGCCGAAATTCTGCCTGCAGCTGCATTTAAAGGGCTGGTGAGCTAAGGCATGGAGCCGAAGTGCTCAGAAAGGAAAAACAGAACTAGAAATCAGGGCGGTGGTGTCGTCCACGTCTGTGAGCATCTTCACGTCTACATTTAGCCATGGCATATCGAAGGGTTCCAAATGACACCTCAGCAAACACACGAAACACTCTCAAC